ATTTTGGCACCGTTTTAATTTTACCATTTAGATAACTGCGATTCATAGTCGTTTTTTTAAATAGACATACATATTATATTTATTTTATATTGATAAAAAATATAATATTTGATATAAGAAGGTTTCCAATAAATTATCCCAAATTTGGTTGGGGTATTTGGGGTATTTTTATATATTCTCCAGGTTTAAGGTGTCAGCAACCTTTTTTTTCGAATTATTTATAGAATTAATTGAAAGTATTGAAATTCTTGATTAAAATTAACCGAAAAAAAATTAAATTAGAAGTCTATAAAATAATATATTTAGAGATAAAATGATATATTTTATCTCCTTTGTAACTAACATAATTATTTTGGGACGATTTCATTTTAACTATTCAGATGACACGCTGATTTATAGATTTATTTAAACTAAACATATTGTGATTATCCAAACATATTAGTAATATCAAGATTGTTGATGAAGAATTTAATAATAAATAATAAAACTGAAATCCTGGAATGCAACAAATTGCTAATCATTCCATCATTCCCACAAAGAAAAAATGACCAAAGGATCTCCTGAAAATATTATTTAATTAAATATTAGCTTCAAATTAGTAACTTAATAGACATAAATTACTAGATGTTAAACAACAAAAGAAAACTTGTATAATAAAAGTTGCATTTACCAAAATGGATTATAATCACACTGATTGCGAGGACCAACTTCCATAGTCAGAAATTAAGCAAGAACTTAGGAACGTCTTTTTATCAAATAGAGCTAGAATTCTCGATTTTTATTGTTAGCAGGATATAAATATGTACTTTGTCATTTATAATATGATAAATTTGCTGTTTAAAATTAACTTTGAGAGCTTCATTTTGATTTTGATCAAGTGTTATATGCGTATTGCGTGTTCGCTTGTGCAAATGCTCCGGTGTGTTATCTAATATCACTGAATTAGAAATTAGGATTCCATCTCCTGGGGATCGCGGACATAGTACAAGAAGAGATAGGACAGGGGTTTACAACCTTTTTTTAAAAGATCAATTCCGAGAAATAGAAGAGAAAATCACAACACAATCGGTTTGCATGCTTGTTTTGGAATCTCAGAGGTCTACAATATTTTTTCCAAATTATTATTTTCAAGAAAGCGATGTAAGAATCACAAATTGGTTTACATACTTGTTTTGGAATCTCACTAATGCTTGATAATAGACACATTTTAAAATAGGAATAGAAGACATCGAATGGTATTTGTTACTACTAACTTATTGTTATTACTAAAGTAGAAATTAGGATTCTACTTTAGGAAAATCCTGCGTAAAGTATAAGTTGTATAGGGTTTACAACAAATTTTGATCAATATAATTCATTTGAAGAAATCATCATCAATAAAGATACTCATATTAGAACAGACTATTTGCTACTTCTCATTATCTGAAAGCACTTTAATTAATCCAGTTACAAATAATCTCATCTATTGGAAATATCCGCATATGGAGTTACACTTACCATTAAATACAATTAAAATATTTTACTTACCAATATAGAGATTTATTGAAAGGTTTCTTTCCCCTGTCTTGTCGTAATCAGTATGGCAGCATTTCCGTGCGGTAGTCAGTTTCTTGCATGTCTCGATAATGAATCCGTTGGGGGCTTACAATTTGCAATACACCCTATACAAAAGTAATAAAATCCCATAACTTCTAATGGAGATTACGATGGTACATATAAGATATAAATTCTGAATTCTCTTAATATAAATAAGGCCTGTTTAATGACTTCCTTGGAGCAAAGAAGTATAGTGAAAAGTTTTTACCTACAGTGGTAAACTCACACATTTAATATAGAAGTTTATAAAAATTACAAAAATATATTTTTAGATTTTTGAATTATTTTTTTCTCCAATTATAGGGGGCATCCCTTATGTCCAATTCCAATAAAACTTTATCTTTTTCTTGATCTTGTCATTTTAGTACTTGGGGCTGTGGATGATATCATTTCAATTCTAACTTGGTACAATTGTTGATGCCTCACTTTTTAAATGTTTTTGAATAGATTAAAATTAACTATAAGAAATTTAAATTGATAAGAAGTAATCGCATGTACCATAAAAATTCTATTATTTAATTTTTAATTATTTGACTTCAATATCTGCTAATTGGAAATAATTTGGATGATACATTGTTAGGCCATATTTGTTGATTATGACTAACGATAGCAAAGATGGGCAATAAAGATCATATATATTTATTAATATTTGAACATGCATTTATGCGCGAAATAAAACCATTAAATGTGAATGCTCTGACAGTAAATGGTATATTTTATTACTCCATTATTATCTTATCTGGATTTATCCGGTTGCTCTAGCATATAAAACTGGTTGATGATTATTTTTATTATTCCGCGAAATTTGATATTTCCAATATATTTAAAGGTCGTCTCAAACTTCGGCAGTAATTTTTTATTTATACATTTGCAATTAATTTTTTGTTGCGTTGGATAGGCATGTTCACATGCACATGTTTAGTCATGATCAGGAAATATAGCTTATACATAATAAATAGTTAAATAAAAGTAGTTTCGAACACGCAAATGTGAGAAAAACGTTCATAAAATAACAGAAACACGTGTATTGACTGTTAAATCAAGAATAGAGTGAAATGGAAAATTTATCTACTATGCAATTATGCCAACAATACATATAGTCATGAGTACTTTCAAGTAGTTTCTAGAGTTTAAATTGCATTATATTATTCTAGAGTTTATGTGATCAATAACCATACTTTTGTTATACAATCATTATGATGGACACTTGATAAGTTGAACATCTTCTAAATGAACTTCGTGTTCATAATTAAATATCTAAAATACATATGCACAAGGTTTTTATAGGTTGTTATTTTGTGGATGGTAAACAACTTCACTTTTTCATGTGAGAAGTCATTTATAAAAATAGATTTCAGATCTATTTAACTGTATGACTTGATCTAAATGATATGATAACACTTTTTTTATTATTTCAGGTGAAGGTTGTGTGGACAAGCCACTAGCTACTTTATGGCGAAACTACACGCAGAGTTCTCGTCCCAACGTTGCTATGACGGTCAGCGTTGCCACAAGCGGTCTGAAAGCTACCACCAAAACAACATGGGCTCACCGAATATTGGGCGCACCGCATCACCCATTGCAGCGCACCTGCCGCCTACCCTCGACTCTTCTGCTCTGCTGGGTTTATAGACACGAAGGACGAAACTCAAACACGAACTTCGATGTCATGCTGTATTCTGCTCTCGTGAATCAGCTGCTACTGAAATCGCTAATCTGCTTCAGCAAAATCTAGCTAGAGCACTTAGTGAATTCCGCAGAGAGAAAATTTCCAGACAGAACGCTCGCTTAAGCTTGGCCAACAGCGTTTACGACAACCCTAGTCTACCTCGAAGAAAGATCTTATTGAGCGTTGGTGGTAATAATTACAGGCCGCCACTGGAGCGTTCCAAGAGCGCTCCCAAATTGGTGTCGATAGAAGAGAATATCGAGGAAGAACAAGAGGAAGACGAAAGCCGCCTAGCACCGCAAGAGCGTTGCTGCCAAAATAACGATATTTTTCCCTCGTACACCTTAGGCAGACGAAGGTGTCCGAAGGGACATTCCATAAGGAGACACAGACCAAAGGTACAATCTTCAAAGAATCTCAATTCCGAAATAGTTTCTGAAAAATCTAATGAAAATGAAGATAAAGACGAAATTCATGAATCGCGTCTCCACGAAGAAGAAGACGATGCCTTCTTCGAGTTGATTACCACCCAACCACCTAGTATCACCATGGCAATTATCTCCACTGGTGATAGTGATGAAGGTGGTTCGATATCGAGTGGCTGTGAAACCGCAAGTACAGTAACAGCTTCCGATGTAGAAAATGGTAATCACGAAAAACGAACGAATTCTAGGCCAACTTCCGACGGAGAAATAACTCCAGAGGCAGAAGTGCAATTGGAACCATTTGGAGAAACAGGAGATGAAAAAGAATTCAGAAGAAGTTTTAGAAAAAGTTTTAAGAAGAGTATTAAACGCAATGTCGCTGTCTCTGAAGTAGTTGAATTTATTGAAGGACATACAATAGTCACAGGTTTTGAAACAACTACTGATGAACATTCAGATGCTCAATTGGATAGCGATGGTGAATTCAGCGATGAATCAGGATACGTGGAGTTATTAGATGCCAAATGTAAAACAATAGTACATAACCAACGGCCGGTACTTGTATAAATCAATATATATATATATATATATATATATATATATATATATATATATATTGATTTCTTACAGCTTAAATTTTGTGATGAAAATATTTATATTATATAAAGGAACTATTTGTAAGAATTGTATATAGTAAGATTGTTTAATTGAATGTTATGTGTATGTGGCTGCTAATATTCCTTGTTTAAATATTTAAGCAGCATTTATGTATATTTGTAGTGTCATTGTGCATTGTTGATTTTTTTGTTAATTTTAATTTTTGTATAGTGTTACTTACTTTTAAGTTTATTGTACATTATTACTTATTTATGAATGATATTATTAGAATTTTTATCAAGAAAACGTGACCATAAATTAACATATTTTTCATTATTTTAAAATACAAAATGGTAATGATTGTTTTACTCTTATTGAAATATTTTAGCTTAAATTTTAAATGTTTATGTTAAATTATATATTTGGATAGCACTCATTATACAGTTATTATGTAAAGAAAAATTATTTGTCAAAATAAAATATCATTAAGGCATCACAATATGAATAATGAAAAAAATCACCAATCAAATAAAATAAACAAATCAAATAAAAATTGTAGATGATATATTTTCTGACTGTAAACATTAAAAATTAGAGAGATATACCTGAATAATTGTATTTAATATTGTACCTATTTAGTTAATACAAAATAAATTCAAATAAAAACTGTTATTAATCTTAACATAAAATACAAAAAGAAATTCTGCATATTAATTTCGAATTTATTAATCTTGGCCATAAAATAACAAAATAAACTATATACAATAAATGGAAACATACAATATAAATAAGCAAGGCATTTTTAAATATATAAATAATACAATATAGAATTTTGAACCATTTATATTTTATCACAGATGATTTAACCCCTGTCTGCTGCTTGCAGAATTCTTAAAATATATATGAATAGATTGACAATATCTAAGTACAAGTTAATTGTGGCCAAAATATACTCTTCTGGTGATAATGTCGTCATCATAACATGCGTGTCATAAAGCAAAAACAAGCTGAATATTAGTGCACCAAAACTGCATAACACTAATTCAAAAATAGTTGAATGAGTGAATATCTGAATGATACCACCTACCAATAAACAGCAAAGTCCAGTAAACAATCTAAAATCATAATTATAGCTTAAAATATTATAGGTAATGCTAGATTGAGAATATTATGAAATACTAACGCTGCTGGGAGCATTGATAAATCCAGTTTGTTTTGTAATGTAAAGAGTGTTATACCAATAACAACACACAAAGTAATTGCAATAGCTTGAAGTACTAAACTAGCTTTAAAATGTGTTACTAGCACACCCACACTGATGGAGTTTGTAATTGTCTAAAAAGTTAGTCATAATTAATATTTAAACGCATTGAAGCTACAATTTTCAGGAATATTGAACAAAGTACTCACGAAAATTGTTAAAAGAATAAAATTAGTTGGTGTTTCCTTTCTCTTGATGTGAAGAGCAATCAGCACACCAATGCTACTGATCATGCAGACTAATACGAGCCAGTCACTAAAGAAACGCATTAATAAAAACAAATAAATTATTGCAATAATGTGTATTAATACAATTAGTGATACAAACTTTGCTTTAACAATTCCTTGTACAGGCTCAATTTGGCAGGCTATGCCCACCAGCAAGCTCAATAACAACTGAACTGTAAGTAGTCCATAGACTTTTCGAATGAATCCAAGTCTCACACGAACAGATGCATTAATAACGTTATTGTTATATGCAAAGTCATTCTATACATAGGAGTCGTAATTATATAACTTAGTATATAAGATATTAATTTAAATTTTTCTACGTGCTATATTACCTCTATTGAACCTTCTTTTCCACCACCTTCTAGGTCATCTTCAGCAAACATAAGGGGTACGGTTGCCATATTTAATTCTAGAAGATATTAAAGGGCCACTTAAAAATTTATTATTTTTTCGATATAGTTTCCTAAATTATGCTATTTTTATAGAAAAAACAATTTTTATCACAAACAGATTTTCAATTTATTTTGACAGGAGCTTGACACATCACTGTAATGAAGTTTTCTCATAATAACTTAATTTATTAGAATGCCAACATTATAAATGAAATAAGGAAATTAAATTGTGTTGTTGATTAATTTGTTTTCATACTCAAATTTATTCACATTTCATTTCTATTTATTTACATTATAAAGAAGTTTGTTTTAGAAAACGCTGTCTTTGAAAATTGATATACGTGTCAAAAAAAATTCGCTGCCTTAACATACTTATGAAGTTGTCATTGAAACAAAATGTTTAGCTGTCAAAAGGTCGTATCGCCATTTTTTGTGCATCGCATTCGTGTCGAGTTCTAGTGGTTAGTTTTCTTTGTGTAAGTTATTTACAATTAGTACTTTTTATTGTTATTTTTATATTATTTTTCTTTGCACTTTAGTTTTGATAATTCTTCTTTTTTATATTATTATTTATTTTAATGCTAGGTTTGATATTGGGGTCAGGTTACATGCAATGTTCTTTATTAGTAGAAATTAATGTACTTTTTTGCGTTTCTATTTTGTTCTAAGTTATGTTTTTTTCTCTAATCAATCAATTTATTTTTTACCTAAAAAGGGCCATCCAAATTTCAGCTTTTTCTCAGCTACTGTTAAAGTGTGCCAAATCAGTCTTATAATAGATAATTCAGATAAGTCTTAAGTAACTTTTGACGAATTATATTTATCTATAGGGAAATGCTGATAAAGATTGAAATAATCATGTTAACCAAAATTTGAAATTATATTACAATTGCAAATTATGTGCAATATAAACTTAATTATAAGTAATTAAATAACACATGCATTGGTAAATTTCTAGAAAGTGTGTAATCTTGAACATGAGAGCTAATGTATATGTGTACCAGTTCAACTTATTTACAATCTCTGATGTAACAATAGAGGAAGGAATGATTTTGATATATTTTTTCTTCTATCGTTACCTCAGATGACGTGATAAAACACATGGAAAAACTATGAACATTCACAAAAACATTTAATTTACAATTCAGAAAATTAGGGTTTTTGGATGTGCGGAGTTTATAAGATGCATATGGGTAATTTTATAGAAGGTTTACAATCTTGAGTATGTAAACTCATCAGGTACTTGTGGCTGTACAATTTACTTATGATCTCTGAAGTAACAATTGAAGAAGGAATAATATTTTGATCTATTTCTTCTTCAATTGTTACTTCGGATGCCATGATTAAACACTTAGAAAAACTATAAATGATCACATATACATATAACTTACAATTCAATTAATAATGATTCTTGAATAAAAGATGAGTAAGTCTATTCCTATTGTTCAAATGAGATCAATTACTGGTGTGTTCAAAATATTCCCAAAGTTAAATTATAATCTTGTTGTATCTAGATCTAAAAGATGGGCAAAACACGGACAATTGAGTACCATAGCTGATAATAGATCATATCACATATTTTGAATTAGATGCCAGTTTTGAACCTAGACAATATTAGAATATGATATAATCATATTCATGGTTTGGGGTAAGATAACTTTATTCACGATAAGATAATATAAATTCATATATTTAATTTCGAGTATATTCATAAAGCTATTACTGTGATTGTAAAAATAATAATCTGTTTATTATCATATTGATTGAAGCATAAATAGAATCTATATTATTAAAAATAAATGATAGTATTGACTAATAACAAGTTAAGTTTTATTTTTATTTTAGTTTATATATTGCTCATTTCCATGCTTTAAAATTATGGTAAAACATGATGAAAGGAACAAATTTGAATATCTTTTTTTTTATTATTAACTAAATTTGAATCTCTAATGAGATTTATATATAGTGAAATTCTATACAGCTTGCTATTCAAATTTTTCAAAATTCACATAAATAGTGAATGCAAAATGCACCTGATACATAGACAGATATATTAATCCATATGTATAAGATTTATGACCTCTATTCAGTATTAAATGGATAATCTTAGATGGCCAATATCATAAATTAATCTAATTAAGAATTTAAGCAAATATGAGACTTAAAAATTTCATAAATTATTATTACATTCTCTAGGTGACAGAAGTGTCAAAAAAATAAAATGGCCACTACTTTTTGTGAAATGAAATGAGTTGAAAAGGTGAAATTCTAACACAAAATCTAAGGATGATAAATGATAAAGAATTCAGTAGTTTAAAAGAGCTTCATTTTAATTAATAGTGATTATAATAATAATAGTCTTTTTATAATTAACGATGCGTTTTTATCATATTATGTTGGACATCCTGCAAATTGCAAAATTGCTGTGAACAGATGACTGTCAATTTAAATGCAAATTGCAATGATCATTTAATTTCTTGGATTTTTGTTTATTATGTAGATAGTTTAATTAATAAGAGTGTTAATTTATATACGTGCGTTATTTAAGTGGTAAGATTTTCGGTGAAATTAGTATTATTAGGTATAACATAATTCAATAATTCTCTTGTGAACTGGTTCGACATATTTATTTCAACTACAAGTGTACCTTCTTTTCAGAAAATATCAAGAAGTTAAAATAGCAAATTATCCAGATTTGATCCACACTTATATAGCACCACAATTTATAAATTAATCAGGTATTTTTCAATTACTTAGTAATTCTTGTTTTAATAGAGCTGTGAGCTGTGTGAAGCTGATGAAGTTCTTGTTTTTAATTGTATATCAATTTCAAATTATTGCCTTCATGAGTTATAAAATTGTTATAAAATAATTGAAGGAGCTTTTTGTAATTATTGGCATTATTAGATATAGCTATTTTATCCAATTATATTCATCCAATTCTTCGGACATATTCATAATTATAATTTGGATTGATGACAGTTGATATGATTTCTGAATTAATAATATGCAAGGTTGCTTAAGATTTATTTGATAAGAAAAGACCTATCTGATTATATTACTTTCTCCGTTCAGTTTACTACTGATACTTTCTCATTTTCATCATTATGGGGTTATATCACGCTCTTTATATAGATTTCTTAACACTGCTAAAATATATTAAAACATACATAAAATGTATAGAATATACTGGCATGACTATGTGACAAAAGTAAAATCATAATTGATATAGACTCTCAGTTGGTTATAAAAATATTGATTAATATTTTATTATTTTCAAAAGCGGTATGGTTTGAACCTTGTTGCTCTAATATATTTAAAAATATTGTATGACTCGAAAACATACAATTATTATCTCTGTCAATTATCCATAGACATGGCTGACTATTTCCAAGAATTCAATATCCAACCTCTAGCTGATGGGGAAGCTCCCAATCATTTTTTACATGCTGCCAGGCTTTTTAGAGATTATGGAATGTTCGAATTATTAATTGATGGACAAAATCCACCCCCACCAGCAGCAAAAAGTGTAATTGAAAATTTACAAAATAAAGAAATCAAACATGACAAAGAACAATGCACAGTTTGTTTGAGGTTTTTCAAAACAGGTGATACTGGCAAAGAATTACCTTGCAAACATTTCTATCATTCCGAATGCATTGTACCGTGGTTGCAAAAAACAAACTCTTGTCCACTATGCAGACATGAATTACCTACAGATGATGAGGTATATGAAGAATATCGAAGAGAAAAGTTACGTTCCGTGCAAAGGGAACAGGATTTAGAAAATTTACATGGTTCTATGTTTGGCTAATTTGATAACCACACATAGAATATATATTTCTTACCAATATTAATATCTTTGATATGTGTTTAAGAAGATTCATTTTAAGATAGTTTTAATGGCATTCAGGAAACATTTATATTAAGTAATTTATAATATATTATCTATTCCAATGTGTCTAACTTGATACAAATAAATTCATTACATAAAGCATCTTATGTACATAACAATATAAGTCATAACAAAAATTATAGTGTCTTATTAAGTTTAAATTTATTCTATATAATTTCTATATGGAGGAGCCCAAGCTTCTCTTACGCTTTGATTATTAGAATTTGTGATATATTTTTTATTATTTATCTTGCTTGTATGATTTTTTATGTTTTCATGCGCTTTATGTGTCTCTTTTATATCATGTACGAGATTTTCACATAATCGAACTGTGAAAAAATATAGCACTTCAACAACACTCATTAATGAGAATCCAACAAATAAACTACAAATTCCTCCAAAGTTGCCTAAAATTATTTTCCATGAATAATCAATTATAAATAATTATTTCAAATGAAAGGTTTCAAAAGATACTTACTTACAATTTCATACCAATAATATAAAACGTCCTTACGGTAAAGCATGGTGCTTGAAGATCCATAGAATACTCGAATTAAACTTTTGTTCTGCTTGATACTGCTAGGACTGTAAAAATAATACAAGAAGGGTATTACTGATTTAAAAGGATAATTCGAATTCTTAAATTCTTATTTTTTAATATAATTACATAATTAAATAATTTGATTGCAATAGCATCACCAATTTCGAAATATCAAATACACATTTATCCAATTGGAATATACATCCAATTGGAATCCTATTGATATCCTATGATTTATGTATTTGTTATGGAATTTAAACTATAAGATATATAATTCCGAACTCTCAAAAATATACAAATTAGTTGAAACAATTAAAATCAATTTTCTGCTAGTGTAAACTTAGTTTTAAAATAAAATATGAGTAAAATGTTTATTGAAGAACTCAATTATATTCGAAGACGATTTCGCGCACATTCCAGCATTTCTTATAAGTAAAATACGTATTATTTGGACGGTAATAATATTTTTGACTTATTTTTCAGATTATTAAATAAATTTCAAAATTTAAGCTACATGAAACATTAAAATTTTATACTTTACATATATACATAATTTACATATATATATAATATACGTCTTACTTTACTTTCAACAAATATTGTTTTTCAAATAGAAATTAAAGATTTGAGAAAGAAATCGTTTCAATGAATCTGATTAGATTTTGAGTACAGTTGGAATTTTATGCAAATATTAAAAATTAAATTAATATAAATTAAATATAAAATTTATTAACCGTAAGTCGCAGCAAAGTTTGAAAAGTACTTTATGCAGATAGTTGTTTTATTATTTAAGTTTATTTAAGATTATTAATTATTATTTTATATTTTTATAAAATTTAAGTTATTATTACAAATATGTGTATAACAATGTAGATATATAAATTATATCACATTTTATACTTATCACATTTATTTTATTTTTGAAAGGTTACTTTTATTTTTATATTAAAATATTGAAGACAACTTCATGGCCTCACTATGGAGGCATGGTCTTACTATGATGTAACAATCTTCAGTCAACATTGTTAATGGTAGTTTACAAACTATCTGTAGTTTGCAAGTTAATGTATCATAGTTTTAATAAATTCTCATGTGTTGATATATATACTAAAGTTAGTAATTTAAAAGAGTTATTTTGTGAAGTGGTTGGACATATTTATATTGTGTTTTTAACAAACATGTGTATGGGAAAAAGACTACTGTGACTAAAGGACTTGTGGTGAGTAAATTCATTGCATTTATATTTAAATGGTGGTATTTATATATGAACGGCATTTGAATACTTTTTTCAATAATTATATAGTATTTAAACTTCTGTTTCAATACAAAACAATTTACGTCTAGCAAAAAATAAAATTTCTTCTTCGGGAAGTTAAGAAGGTGCCATATTACGCTTTGATTATAAGAAATTTGATACTTGGTTCTGTTGAGAGGCAATATATTTCAATAACTCTTAATATTTGTCACAACCCACATGTCTACTGTGAGTTCTTAAATTTTTATCTGGGTTTTTAAATATGTATGTATTTACGTAAATTTTTACATTATTTTTCATTTTTTGTTATATTAAATGGTTTATAAAGTTAATTTTTTTATGTGATTGTTATAATTGATGTGCATAAAGAAGTTAATGATTTAAAATTATATCGATTTGATTTATATTTTCTTACTCTGTGCCATTATCCAAAATGTCTGGTATCATTGGTGCCCAAGTGCCCTGCACTAAATAAGACGTAGATGAACATTGTGGCCAGCATTCTGGACAATTCAAACTATCTTCTTCCTCATGTTCTAATCCTGGTATACCATCTGTTCTTGGTTTAAGTGTACGCCATTTCACTTTATTGTTAATTAACAAAAATATTAATTATTTATTTTATTATATTTAGGACGCAATGAGTAATTTTCAATGCGTTGGTCAACTTAAAGTTAGTGATGTCAATTGTGAATTTCAATGGTAATAGAACTACTATAATGGTAATAGTCCTACTGCTATTGAAATAGTAATGTTTTATAATTACGAAAAGTACTTAATCATATTTTTCAGAAATTAATTATACCACTGATAACGAAATGTAACTGTTTCTAACTCAGTGGTTTCTAACCTTTTCGTACCGCGCCCACCTGTTAATTGCTGCGCGCACCTCCTTAATATTTCTAACTAAATCTATTTTTATAAATACTCAACCGATATTATAATTCATTAATCAGACTACTATATAAGACATTATGTCAAAATATGCATAAAAATAATTATCTATTCTATCAATTCAACGGCTTTGGTTTATTTTACGTCCTTCTTGAAACAACCACGCGGTTCCTAAAGGCTCGCGCCCCACAGTTTGGAATCCAGGGTTCTAACTTGTTTATGTACTTTTTGTGATGATATTGTATTACTTTGTTCTACATCATTTTTATTACACAAGCCAAACAAATAAAACTACTCTCTAGCTTATCGTTTATATCAGATTTTTACTTCGAGGGTAACGATATGCCGACGATTTTGCATAACAGTGCATAGGAAAAAAAATGTTTCTGAAAATTATATAAAGTATACTTGCCCATGTATTTATTCAGACATTGAATATGTTGCAATGTACAATTAATTGGCTGTGGTACCTCGTCTGGGTCGTCAGGTAAATAAAACAGTTTGCAGCCACATAATGCAAATATACTTCTGACGCGACACATAACAAGACAGTTGCTGTAGCTGTAAACTGATTCATCTTGATATATGCAACCTTTCTGCAAAAAATATATTGAATATTTATAAAATAGTTAAAATGCTATTTTATAAAAAAAATATCACTATACTTAAACCGCAATCGATTCTATTTAAAGATTTTGGAAATTATTATTATAAATCTGGCTGTTTTTAAAATGAGTCCTATAACATCACGTGTCCAAATAACTCAGATGTGAGAAAATAATTGGATGCTATGAATTCAAATTTTATATTTTTTTAAATTGTGTGTTAACAAATTATTACATTACCTGTTGAGTGCTAAAATGTGCAACGTCCGGAACGCTTTTAACCGTACTTGCATCAATCCGCAAAAATACTTCCGTGTCCGGTGCAACGATTTTTTGCGTTAACCCGCCGCTGGGCATGTCCGGGTAGTCATTTGGGCTGAATATGTGTATCTGTTAAAGAAAAAGAATACACAGAAAATTAAATTTGCATTATTTGGTTAGTGATTATTAAACACACACAATATTTTTCATAAGAGCAAATATAAATTATTTAATTTTTCAGAAATAAAAATTGCACTTCACAATTTTTAGTTGTTCAGTCTACATCTAATATAATTATAAGTAATTATAATTTTTAGTAAATGTATCATTTCATTTTTAATGAGTAATCAACATTACAAAAACAAACTGGTAAAAACTAAAACGTGTTCGAATTTTTAAATAATTAATATAGTGTAAAATGTAGAAAAAATGATATTGCAACATTTTGTGATAAAAGGAAACAATCAACATATTTTTAATGAAAGGACAAAATTTAGTTCAAAAAAATAAAATCACAAACAATATATTATTTATTAATACATTCGGTAGCATAATTTTTGAATTATGGATCTAATATTCTTTTTTTTACCGTAAACCCTTCTGTGTTCATTATAGGATAATAATAATCTTCCAAATCCGGATACGCTGTGACGATGAGTCCATGTCCTGGACCTGGCGTATCGATAAATCTGCAAAATATGAATACGTTCATATGTACAAATGTATTGGTATAATTCAAAATTTCGAAAAAATGTCATACAAATAATTAAAAATTTCATACAAATAAGTGAACATTTTTTCGACTATAGGAATAGTTAGTAGCAGATATTTTCAAAAATGCTAAAGTAATTGCAACCCAATATACTAATCCAATATACGTACAGTTCTAGGATGTTTATTTTCTTTTTTTCTTGATATATTTAGTAATTGCGATGTACGTATTTTGATTATTTGTTTTCATATTTAGTTTTTTGGTTTACTTAAGCATAATTATGTACGCTCGGTTATCAGTTGAATATAGTATCATGATTAAGAACAAGTATATAATATTGATAATCTGAATTAGGTGTTTTGGTCGTCAATAGAAAAATTAATATATTTTGAACTCATAAATAGACTTGAGAACACGTTCAAGCAAAACAATATTTTTAAGCATGTATATAGAATGTGTATTCTTACTAGGTTGGACGTTATGAAACCCAATATTGAATAGAAGTTGTTACAAAATATTCCATCAAATTATATTAAAAAATGACTTTTATACTTTTATATCTATTTGAATAACAACGTACTTTTCCGTCATATTCAATCCTCTAACATAATTGAAAGTACAACAGAGGCCTTCCATAGTAGGACGCATACTGAATAGAGCTCCACAAGGCTCAGAATATCCATCCCAGGAGCAATCACTTAGCATATCCTCACATTGAGGTGACAGCTAAAATATTAAAATATTTACATTTTTTATTCAACCCTCGTACTACATATTACCACCAGGATATTTATTAAATAAATATTACTTATAAATATAATTTATAAGTATTTTTTCTGTTTGTTCATTTACTTGTTCATGGTCTGTTTTAATATACTATAAAAATATGCCTTCATCTTAGTAATGATATTTGTGGTAAACTTTCAGTAGTTGATTTTGTACCTCGTTAGATGGTTTACCTGTGTCACAATCATGAAAACCAAGTTTTATTTATCTAAATAAAAAGAAACGAATAGTAGAAGTTGCTCCAATGAGCGATTGATTCTGAGTCACATTTTTTTTACATTGAGTTTACAAATTTTTTTTGTGAAGTGTTCTTCTAGACGGAATATCGAGCAAATTAGCCATTGCTGAATTATAGTGTATAATTTTTGCATGCTGATTAATGTTGCTATTTTTAATGGCATCTACTAAAGATATTATCAGATTATTGTTTGAAAAAATCAAAAGTAATCGCTTGTAAAGTTTTGGATTGTAAGACTTGGACTAGTTCCACATTTGATCTACACAATTGGATACTATAAGTCCATTCACCTGTATCATGTGTTCAGAAATATCGTACATCCCAGTAGCATTATTAACATCATAGGTATCCAAAATATTTTGGAGCGTTGTGAATTGTTCTTGGCCTTCAATATCGTGGTCGTATATTCGCCCCATCAAATGCACCAATTCTAACATTTGTGCTTGTTTTAAACCAGCTAGATTAGCTCTGTCACAGAAATGGTTAAGGTACTAGTTATTCTTCAAATATTTGCCTAATAACATTTTAATCATTATGGTAAATAGAATCAAGTTGTATGCATAGTTGTCTTGCTTTGTTAAAAAATAGTTTAAAAAAAAATAACGGGTTATAGGTTAAAAAATGGGTTTCGTTAGACTTTTTATTCCTTACAATTTTTCTGCATAAGCTTCAGCTTTTTTTTACTAATTTTGTTGACGGGACAAATAGCAATAGCAGGAAAGGGCACTTCCCAAATGGGGTACTGTGTGCTCTCTATGGTCGTTGCCGTAGGTTTTGCAACAAAATCGACCCAAATTTGCAAAACAAAGTACACCACACCAGCAATTGCCAAAGAACTAACAATCAGCCACATAATTCTGAAAATATTAATAATGGAAATTCATATTTATTAATTAGATAGTTAAAAATAAGTTACTCAGTTCATTATTTGAAAACAATATTTATGATTGTTCAAAACTTTAATTTTACCTTTCCGTCCAATGTCTTCCGTTTTCGACTATATGTATACATCCATTTATAGTTGTGCTTCTCATCAAATCTTTAAAAGTTTTTAATATAGCTCTGCGCCATTCAATAGTATGCAATTCAAACTTCATATTTTATTTTAATTTACCTAATTTATTACATTTTTTTTCAAATAAGATTCTTTTTTATGCATTAGATTGTTTTCAAGTGTTACCTTGATTCACCATCCCTATAAATTAAATCGCAACATTTACAGAAATATAGATTCTGTGATGATAAAACAATCAGGAAAGTTTATTACTTTATAACGTGACAGTGATGGTTTATTTTTCATTAAATATTAAAAGAGTGTAATAAAAATATCTAAATTAGTCGTTCTAAATGATACTTTAATGTGAAGTACTATCTCATATCCTTAAGTATTGAGATTTTTATCGCAGTGACGAATATATTTTAAGGTCAAAAAAAAAAAATGACAGGGAAATCAATGTTTAATCTAGGAAAATTTTAAAAATATGTTCTAACCAGTTAAAATATTAACAAATTCTTCTTGATAATGTAATTGTATTTACTTTTCTTGGCATGATAAGTTAAGGCCGCTTTTACAACATAAATTGAATAGTAGACAATTTAAAAAAACACCACAATAGTTGTGTTTCAGACAAGATGATATTCTAATATTATTCAACCCTGATAAACTAGAAACATGTTAAATGTTAAATTAAAATCAATGATACAAAAACGAAGTTATAAGCCTCTAAAATAAATTAGTAGATAAAGTTTAAGGTTTTTTATATAGTTATGATGTATTATATAATTGTATATGCTCATTATATTTTTGTTATGTCTAGTTTCTACTTTGGACAAAATGTTTATTCACATTTGGCAAAGTATATTATTGCAGATGTCACATGTTTGAAGGGTTCTGTTCAAATATGATATATATGCTCATTATTATGTTTTTGTTATGCCTTGTTTCTACTTTGGACAATATTTATTCACATTTGGCAAAGTATATTATGGCAGATGTCACATGTTTGAAGGTTCTGTTCAAATATGAGTGACATATTTTCTGTTTTCTCATGAATAAATTATGTACTTTTTCTTACAAAAGTGTCGATATTCAATTCGTCATGCGATTACTGTAGGGTTTAGTTGCTAACGAAATCAAACATTACTCCTACTCATTCCCATACAAAGGTACTCATTTTTTGCCAGATTATAGAAATATGGGGTTTTAATAATAGATATTTACTTGTCAGTTGATTGTGACAATGGTGAACTTTGGCCATGATTTGTAGTTCGCGAAAGGTCAAATGCTAAAAAAATTGTCGGAATATCTGTTATATAATTGAGAAATTGTGATCACTATTTGAAATCGATATAAAAATTGTAGCGGTTTTTTAGTATTCGAATACAAATTATGTATTTCATTAAACTGTCTCGCAAAAATTTTTTTTTTTGTTTACTACGAAAAGTATAAGCTAATTTTAAAAATTTTAAAGTTTTTCTATGCATTTATTACTACTTTACTAACTGTAAAGAAAAACGCATTTCTCAAATTCCCAATCTTTATTATGCTTTATATTTATAAAAATGAATTCAGTTATTAACCGTAACGTTTAATTAATTAATATTATATTTTGCGAGAATGACGATGAAAATTTAATGGATTGCTATTATATATTATAGTTATATGGGTAATATTTTGACACCATAAAAAATTGATCTAAATTATTCGGATTTTGCAGAAAAAAATCTGATATTTAGTATGTTTTTTCATACTGACGTAATAAATATACTATGAATAAATGATCGAAACTACAAATTGTATACTCTTTAATTTTTCAAATTATTATTTTATTTAATCTATCCTTTTTTTATTGATCAATGTAAATAAGCATGAATTTCATGAGTATGCTCACTTGGAAGCTATTTGTTTGCTCAGTTCAATTATTATAATTTTTTTTATTTGCTTTTATGAATTACAATCTGCCGTTGTAAACAACATTCAGTAATAATTATTTTATTTTACAACTTCTAAGTTTTGTTTTGAAGTCATGTTGAAAATGGATAAAGTACATGCAACAAATATTACCCTGACACATGATTTTTATAATTTAAGAAAAATTGGAGTTAAAATCTGCTGAATCATACTTGAATAAATAAATGAATAATTACCTATAAATAAAATCTCCAGTTAAGGTATAATTTTTTTTATTTAACCATTTACATCGATCATAAATACAATATAAATATATACAAATAATCCTATAGAGTACATAATATTTTCTTATGTTAAATTAAAACTTCTTATTTAATAATAAAAGATTTAATGATAAATTCTAATAAATTCAATAATAATTCTAATAAATTTTGCCTGTACATAATTTGGCAATACTTGAACTGCTTAATAAAAAATTTGGTTGAAATCATAAATTTATAAACAAAAAAATATTTATAAAAAAATATTAATTTGTAATATTTTTTTTAAGCTTATCCCTAAAAATATTTCATATTTAGAATATTTATATTTAATAAATTAAAATAAAAATTTGAATATAATAAATTAAATTTATTTCAAAAAATATACTTACTACTTATATTCTAAAAGTTTATAATTTAGAAAGACTAGTTGACGTACAGAAATAAATTCATATTCATATATCTATTTACACATTATATTTATATAAAAGGTCAATGATAATAAAATTATATATTTATTCTATAAAACCGGTCAGTTATATAAAACGTTAAAACTTCTATAAATACATTAAAACAGTAATTTTTATACTTAAGTAATACATCGTGAAAAAAATAGTCTCAATAGTCAATCATTTTCATATATACATACATAATTATACATACACATCTTTATATAGAACTATTTTTATTTTATTAAAGTAAATTATTTTAAGTTTTATTACATATAAGGCACGCTCGTGAAAATCTTATAAAATATTTAATCGTTTTTATTTTTTGTGTACTCGCTTGATTCAATATCCGTCTCCGTTTCTCCTTGAATCATTTCTTCGAAATCTTCATGTTTATCATCAAAAATGTCGTTGTTTTTATATATTTTTTAATATTGTCTGTGATTTCGTTACTTGCCTCCGTGTCTTGCATTAATTTCTTCTCATTTTCCATCTTGAGTTTTAATTGCTCCTCTGCCATTTTCTTTTCCATTTTTTCTATGTATCCAGGCAGCCAGAAAATTGCTTGGATTAATCTGAAAAAGATTAAGAATAATTTTAAAACAAAATTCAAAAACATTATTTTTACAACTAGAATTAGAATTTTTGAAAGAAAATTGAATAAGTATTTCAGATATAATTCTTAGCACCTCGTCTAAATAATTTTTTAAGAACAATTTGTTACTTTTTTAGATTATTATTTCATGTTAGGTTTTATTCTATTTATTATGTTTGATTTGGTAACTAATAAGTGAAAAAAAGTTAAGAAAAATCTCATGAGTGAAACTCGACAATAATCTCATGTGTGGCACGACTAAGACGACTAGACGATAAACGTAATAGAACTTTTTTAATGAACTTTTTTTTTTTGAATGAAATTTTAGTAATTGTTGATTATAAGCCAACTTAATAAAAATTTAATTAATGCCAAAGATTTTCTTTAAATTTAAATGCATTAATTATCATAATCTTATATTCATTGAGGGTACGACTTCAGCAACCTTTAGGTACTTTTATCATTTCAGAACTTAGTACAATATTAGTTTAGTATAATATGTACTATAGTCTAATTTTAATTTCTATTTCCGTGTCTAACTTTATTTAAACTTCGAAAAACGAAACACAATTCCTACATGAGGTTTTTAGGGGGAAGCGGGGGATTTTACAAAAAATCACGAAATATCACGTGGGGAGGGAGGGATTTTTTTTAAAAATGCTAACATTTTCCAAAAAAATCAAAAAATTTATAATTTTTTCTTGTAACTAAAAATACATGTAATGTTTGGCGGGGGATTGGAGGGGAGGTTAATTTTGAATATCACCACGTATTTCCAAGGGGGGGGGGCAAAAATCCTAAAAAGAATCAATCACTGAATTCATTTTCAATTCATGTTCAATTAATAAACGCCCCCTGAAGCATTTTTGAAAATTAATTCCAGTTTGAACTCTTGTATACTATTATTGGAAGATATTCAGTAATTGTTTTGTAACTGAACGAACTCCATTAGGAGTAAACCCAGTAGTTGTGATATATTTTTAACATACTTAATATTTAATAATTTGGATATAAATATTCTTGAAGTAAAACAGAAATTTTCACTTGTTATGACATTTTAAATTTGTTATAATATTGCACTAGTTATACTGCTTGATATGAAGTTGACCGACGTAAATATTGATCAGTGGTTGCTAATACACGCATTCTTTACAGGGAGAGACAACCTATTTAGTATATTAATCTAATTTTTATGACTAACAAGTAACTATATATACACATACAAAATTTGAAGATCATGAGGTACCATAAAAGTAATTTAGATTGAATACTTGTATAAATTTTTATCATAAATTTATTTAATATATTTCAATCAAAATCAATATTACTATAATTGATTTAATTATTAATTAATAAGATGAATTTTATATTTTTTCGATATTTAATTATTTTAATTAACTATTATTACCTGAGTAATACCCGTACGGCAATAATTAGTCCGATGCAGCCGCAAGACACCGTCAACATGTACCAACTATCTACGGTAACTTTTTGTGGTCTCATCGTATCTGAAACAATTAATAATTATTGATAATTTATAATAATTACATGTGATTATCAACAATAATGAGTTAAATTGAAACTCATTTGAGATGAAATTGATTTCAATTTAGCTATGCAGATAATTGATAATAAACTAAACTAAATGAACCGTAGTTTATCATACAGCTTTATTTAATTTTGTATTATTAATTATCTGTATAATATGAATATTCCTATATTTCTATTAACTGTTTAAACTATGTGTATTCAATTAACAGAAAATTTTAACACACCATTATTTTAAATATTGTCTGGCAGTTCATAAACACAAAATTTCAAAATAAATTTAAAATTAAAGCTAAATTTAAAAAATAATAGAATGATATAAGTTATCACATCATTTCCCAATACAAATTCAAACTGAATAGCAATTTATATTAGAATATATATATATATATATATATATATATATATATATATATATATAGCATATTTATATTAGAATTGGTAAGCTATAGATACTATATAATTTTATTATTTTTCTAATTTTACCTAAATTTAAAATTTATTTTTAAGTTTTATATTCATTGCTTAATTATAAATCAATATTTATTGCTTTTATTTCTTTGTGGTGTGAAATGATAAATGACACTGTGTGAATATCGAAACCTACATACTAAATAACTTCAAGTGTTGATTTATTTTATTTAAAAAATTTGGCTGCGAAAAATATGAACAAAAATGCATTTTTGTTTATACAAAGTGTCCCAGAACTCAACGTCTAGCCGAAACGGGGTGATGGTATTGAATATTGATCATAAATGTGATAAAAAAAATTATCTCATGTAGCTTAAAATGAGCTTTCAAGTGCAACCTTGTAAGCTCGTCAAGGTAAAAATGTGGCTCTTTTTCGGTGATTATGATCAATTTTATTAATTTTATTTATTCATGCCCTGTATCCATTTTCTAAGGCCCCTAATGAAAATAATGACTCAATTGCCTAAAGATTTCAAGAATTAAGACGTTTTGTTAAACTTCTTTGTTATAAATTTGAAATTTTCAAAATTGTTCGACTGTTGAGAGGTCCTCTTCTGGAGAAAAAATGCACTCACGTATGTTAGCAATTTTTATCAATGGTTGGCGCATTTAATTAGAATTGTAAAATTTACCAAAGCCCTATATCAGTGGTTTCCAACCTTTTTTGCACCGCGCCCCCTGCTTTAATAAAAAAATGTTGCGCCCCCCACCCCCCCTTTAATTTTTTCAGCAGTTTAATTTTATAAATACTCAACTGATATTAACATACTACAAATTAATATGCAATATAATATTGCATATTTGTAAAAATATGCATAAAAACTAATTATTTTTTGTTCATTTTTTTATATCGTTCCAAAAACAGTGGGTAATTATTGATAATAGTATTGAACACATGGAACCAGAAGTTGGAAACCGCTGCCTATCTACTCAATTTACTCATAAACTCATAGTTCTCAAACTACATGAGATCTTTTTTTTCTATTATTTTTCATGACAGTTATGATCAATACTGCCACATCGTTTGATCTGATGTTGAGTTCTGGAACAGCCTGTGCGTATACACACACACACACACATATATATATATATATATATATATATATATTATATAACATTGATCACTTGCATACATAATAAAAATCAAATCTATCAAATCAAATATTCAATTAATTGTACTTCTATAATTATACTTTTGTCTAATGTTCAAAATTTAGGTGTTTGTTTCAACCTTAAACAATCAAATTATAATGTCATAATCTATAAGTTAAAGATATAGACATTAAAAAGTAAAACAAAAAAAAGATTGTAAAATATAAATAAATTCAAGCAAAAAAAAAATAAGACAAGAAATAAAATTATAGATAATCCGTGTGCAAAGGTTTTCCGTACAGTTAAAATTATGATAAAACTTTTTCGTACCTATTATTTGTAATCTAGAATCTGTTCAATACACTATTGAAATATATATTTCAAATATATTTGCACAATTTAACACTGTCCAAAATTTAACAATGTCTAAAAATCTGTTGCTTCAAAAAGCCGGCAATAAAAATACCTGATTAATCGAACTACCGATAACTAAGGCGCGCTTGCCTTAAATGACCGAGTCAGTCTCTTGGTGAAAAAGGATTCGACATTTATGTTTGCGATGATCTATTTCCATGGCGACAATTATTGATTTCTGGAAAAATTGATGATAATGGCACGTGTCATATATCATATAACATAATTTGCAGGACCGAAAATAATACTACCATGGAAAACGATTAATAATTATATAAACTTTTCCTACTTATATTCAAATACGAAAGAAGAATGTGGATCTTCAAAATCATCTGAAAGTACAATCTAATTAAGATAATGTACTATTTTATATTACTTATTATTAACTGCTGATTTAAGGGGGTATTCTAGTGAAGAGCAATAAATTTTAGGTCATTTTTAAAGCGTCGTAAAAGGACGCAATAAAAGTTTTTACCATTCATTTTTTACCACTTGTTTATTAATATTATTTAAATACAAAACAAAAATTTTAAAAAAACTTGAAAATTGAAAAAACTGGAAACATTGAAAAAGTGGGGGTTCCCAAAAAATTGGCACCTCAGTCTTGACATAATTTCAGCTCTCCTATATTCCTAGATAGATAATTTTGAAATTACACACTTAAATATATATCTATATGTGAAACTAGGGCTTCCTCGTGAGTAAGTGGCTAGAACGACTAGACCTGAATCAAAGGTCCGGGTTCGATTCCACTGCGAGCAGCCTGTTGTAAAACAGTAGTGACAATGGTTTTCACTTGGAAATATAGATAGCAATATGTTTTTAAGTCAAAATAGCTCTCACCCGGCATTGCTGCACCAATAAAAATAATTGCTCTATTACGTAATAATAATATATCATACAGAGATAGAACAACTGTTTGGGTTGCCATTTGTAGAACAGACTAGAGTATTAAGTTGAATAGCACAATCTTATAGGACTCTAATTCTGATTGATGTTTGAAAATTATATAAAAAAATATGTGGAACTTTATACTTTTTAGGTTTTGCATTTTCTATTTTTATCTGGAAACTGATACAAAATAACGTTTTTCCATTTTTGATAGATGAGCGATCAAAACTTACGGGTTCTATGAGCTATTTATCTCTATGTAATACTGGCGATTTTTTTAATTTTAAGCTGGTGAAAGCTTTTTCCGCTTAGGAAATTGTTGCTATCTATATTCCAAGTGAAATTCGATTTCACTAGTGCTTGACATCAGGCTACTATTCGAGGTGGTACTTTTGATTCAAAGCCCACAGCTCTAACTACTAGATCACGGGCACTTTATATAATAAGCCCTTTTATTTCCTTTTGTTTTGAATATTTTCTACAATTCATGCAAATGCAAATGCGTAACACTGTTGACAATGTAATTATTAAATTATGAAAATTATGAAATTTTTTAAAATAAATTTGATGCGTTTTATATAGGTCATCTATAAATATAGATATATATTTCATAAAAATATTATATATAGATACACGTCTGATTCGATTCTGTTGAATGAAAATGCATTATGAAGCGTATAAAACACATACATTTTCATATAAATGTCGATTACTATGTATTGATAGAATGTCACATACAGTAGTTTTGATAATAGATTTTGTATAATCAATGCGAAAATTCTGCCATATATATATATATATATATATATATATATATATATATATATATATATATATTATGTATATATGTATACATCATTACTAATGATACAATTTGAATGTTGTCATCCATTAACGTGTTTTGTTGAAAAAAAATATCAACATATTGATATTATTATAGATTCTCTGATAAGCTAAACTAAACTAATTTTATTCCAAGATTAATCCTCACACAGTGAAATTTCATAATGAGTAAAAAATCAATCATTTTAATCAATTATTCATCTTTTGTTTACACTTTTTTATTTATCAATTATTCACTTCATTAATTTTTTTAGTACTTTATGATCTTTTATATAAAACTTAGAATCAAGAATATTTTAAGTGGAATATAAGTAATTAAGAAAACTCGCATGTTTTTATAAAAAAAAATAAAAACATATAATATAACATGTTAATAATTTACATAATTACTTTTAAAAAGAGTAGTTCATTTTGCAATGAAACAATGAAAGACACCATGTATGGGATTATTATTTATTCATATTGCATAGAGAACAATTAAAAAATTAGAAAAAGAATTATTGACCTAAATATTAGTTTATATGATTATATATTATATAAAAATAAGTGATTTTAAAAATGGTTCATGGTTCTAAGTAATTCAAATAGTTCATGATAAATTACTCAAAAAATGTTTATATAAATTAATTAAAAATAAAGACAAATAAAGTCTCACTAATTTCGATAGAATGACCTGAAATCAACGCGGTATTCTCAGAACACACAAGTAGTCCTGCCTGTTATCAAAATTAGTGCATTTATTTTGTACATTTTTTATTACACCAAATATGATAAAAATTTTGATAATGTTGTATTTCCCATACATTAATAAAATTTTAAAATGTTATCAATTTGTTAATGACCCCAGAAGTTCATGCAACATGGAATAACCATGTTATAGAACCTTTCTGTCAATAAATTTCCCGATTAAATTGTGCGAAATATTTGTAAGTTCCAGTTTTGTATATAAATTAATATTTTGGGCCAGTGAACATCATTACAATATTAGACGTTGATGTATAAATTTACTAATTTGAAATAAATATAGTGAAAGTAAATTTTTCATAGTGCAATATGAAGATTACAAACTTTGTATTTGTGGCGGTTTTCGTATCTATGATGTTTGTTTATGTGCAGAGCAAATCGTTATCAAATGATAATTTTGATTTGAATTTAGAGAATCGAGAAAGCCAAATTTTGACCCGCAATATACTTAAGGTATGTACCAAAATATTTTAATTATTTTTGTTACTTACAATTTTTAT